ATATTAAATGATTTTTATTCATAATAGAAAATGCGCATGATTTTTTATAGAAACTGTAGATATCATGTGTTCGAATCCGCCAATCGACTACTGGCGTTAACCACTCGTAAAACAAGCAATTTAAGCTTACAACGAGTGGTTAGGGGAACATTAGTAATTTTTATAACATTGTTAATATTCTTTAAAAAAAAATATTCATACGATACATTATAGAAAACATAATACAGAGCTATTTTTCAAAAAGAAACCAAGTTTTACATTTAATGTCAAATATATAAACAATGATATACCTTTGTTGTAGTTTTTGAAAATACGATTAAATAAGGCTTCTTTACTTTTATTTGTAATCATCCCAAATTAAATGTGATTTATGGACAACAACTACGCGTTCTTGCGTTCCTCTGTGTACCACTCATTCTGAAATTAAAAGATAAAAAGGACAGAATGTTTGAGATTTTATAATTAATTTTTCTTTACTTTTCGCCTAATCTTCTCTATTTACTTATTCTTAATATTCTCTACGTATATTTGAATTGGGCGTATATTGCAAAATAACCCTGTATAATCGTACATTGCGTGCTACAAAATATTTTATTATGTATCACTAAATGTGTTTTTTAAGCAAAGCAGTAGTAAAAAAAAATTTGTGAGATTGGTTAAAAATCGACAATAACAAATGGTAGTGGTAATAGACGTAAAACCTATATAATATACTGATGCTTTTTTTTGCTAGGTTCCGTGCCTCAGTGGCATGGCATTGATTTGCAGCGCTGATGGCCGCAGGTTCGAATACCGCATACATCAAGTATTTTTATATGGCCTACAAATAGTTGTTCTGAGTTAGTTTGTCCTTACTTAACTAAACGATACAAAAAAAATGGGTAACTTTCTTTTTAAAACTACTTGATTAATCGACGTAGATCTCTTTATCATTCCTGGGAGGTTTATGAAATTATAGGAATATAACTGAAATATTATTAAATCTTGTTCATCATTACTGTTTTATATCCCTATTATAAAATCTTAATATATATAAATTACGTGTCACGTTGTTTGTCCACGATGGACTCCTATCCTAAACTACTTAACCGATTTTAATCAAATTTGCACACCGTGTGCAGTTTGGTACAACTTGAGAGATAGGATAGATTTTTTGCCCATGACAGACCCAAAATTTTTTTTTGCGATTTTAAGGATTTTTAATAGGTCATGATAAATGGTCATCGAAAAGGGCAGAAAAACGTCTGCTTGACAAGCTAGTATAAAATATATAAAACATACATGTTACATACTATTTAAAAATAATATTTTACGGCTAAAATTCTACAACAGATTAAACTACTTTTCCCTTCTCGTCTCGGATTCCTACTGAATAAGGTAGCAGCGAAATATAACCTGTTAACGCTATTACTCAAAAGGGTCGTGACAATTAACAAGGTACGGGGGGCACTGTTCCAGAAAATTTACTTTTATTTTATAACGTACTTTCTAACAAGCGTCTAATTTTTCACAAAATATACTTATTTCATGTAGTTTTATTTTATATAGAATAAGAGTGGGCGACAGCAGTATAGTCCAAGGGGGAGGCATTGGCCGTTAGTTTGGACATTGCGAAGGCCTTCGATCGGGTTTGGCACAAAGCGCTTCTTTCGAAGCTCCCATCCTATGGGCTTCCCGAGAAATTGTGCGATTGGATCACCAGCTTTCTTGTAGATCGGGGCATCAAGGTCGTTGTAGGCGGTGCAAGCTCCGATTGCAAGCCTATTAATGCTGGTGTTCCACAAGGCTGCGTGCTATCGCCAACGCTGTTTCTTCTGAATATCAATGATATGTTGGTAATTTGGAGTAGGGCAACGGAACCGTAGGGGCTAGCAGCTGGTTGATTTTATGGAGAAAGAGGGACTTTTTATGATGAACTCTTTCTTCCAGAAGCGACCCCACAGGAAGTGGACCTGGTCGAGCCCCGACAGTTCGACAAAAAATGAGATTGACTTCATTATGACGACCAGACGCCAACTGTTCAGTGATGTCTCAGTGATCGCAAGGGTGAAAACCGGCAGCGATCACCGAATGTTTAGAGGCACACTGAACCTAAACGTTAAGTTGGAGAGGTCTCGTCTAATGAAGTCAACGCTCCGTCCCCCTCGTGCTCTAATCCAGAATCCCGAATCTTTTCAGCTCGAGTTACGTAACCGCTTTCAGTGCCTAGAAGATTGCAATGCAGTGGACGAGTTGACTGACAAGCTCGTGGAAACTGTCCATGTGTTCGGAGCTAAGTTCTGCAAGTCCCGCCGCAGAAGAACACAAAAACTCTCCGATCACACTCTTAATCTCATGGCTGTTAGACGGGAGATGAGGCTGCAATCATCAACAGATTTGACAGCATACAGGCAACTGAACAGACAGATCTCCAAATGCATGCGGCGAGACTTACGCAACTTTAATACTGCTCGTATTAAAGAAGCGATCGAGCGGAACCAGGGCTCCAATGTCTTTGCCAGAGATCTGTCTGCCAGAAATAGCCAACTGTCAAAGCTGAAAACTGAGTGTGGCAGCATCGTTTCCGGGACACCTGAGATTTTGAGTGAGATTGAGAGGTTCTATGGGCATCTGTACACATCATCGTTGGAGCCACACGCAAGTGTGAGTAACGATCCAAGAGCAAGTCTTACCCGACACTATTCCGATGATATCCCGGACGTCAGTCTGAGCGAGATTAGAATGGCTCTCCAATACCTTAAAAACGGCAGGGCCCCAGGTGCGGATGGAATTACAGCGGAGCTTCTGAAAGCGGGTGGAACACCGGTACTTGAAGTCCTTCAGAAGCTCTTCAATTCCGTCCTCCATGGTGGCACTACTCCGGAGGCGTGGAACAGAAGTGCGGTGGTCTTGTTCTTTAAGAAAGGCGACAACGCTCTCTTGAAGAACTACAGACCGATTTCCCTTCTGAGCCGCGTCTACGTGCTGTTTTCGAGAGTCATTACGAATCGTCTCGCACGCAGACTCGACGACTTCCAGCCTCCCGAACAAGCCGGTTTCCGAAAAGGCTTCAGTACCATAGACCACATACATACCCTGCGGCAGATTGTACAGAAAACCGAAGAGTACAATCTGCCACTTTGCCTGGCGTATGTGGACTACGAGAAAGCCTTTGATTCCGTCGAAATTTGGGCGGTGCTACAGTCCCTTCAGCGGTGCCAAGTTGACTGTCGGTATATCGAAGTGCTGAAGTGTTTGTACAGTAGGGCTACGATGGCTATCCGAGTACAGAACCAGAGTTCGAAACCTATCCAACTGCAGAGAGGTGTAAGACAGGGTGACATTATATCCCCGAAACTCTTCACCGCTGCGTTGGAAGACATTTTCAAGCTACTGGACTAGAAAGGATACGGTATTAATATCAATGGCGAGTACATCACTCACCTTCGATTTGCCGACGATATAGTCCTTATGGTAGAATCGCTGGTGGACCTTAGCACTATGCTTAATGACCTCAATAGTGTCTCCCAACGGATAGGTCTTAAGATGAACATGGACAAAACAAAGATCATGTTTAATGTCCATGTCACACCTATGCCGGTAGTTGTTGGAGCACTATGCTCGAAGTTGTTGACGAGTACATTTACCTAGGACAAATAGTCCGACTTAAGCCCAACTATCACGGTAGCGTTAAAACAACCTGTATATCGTTCGTATATGGGATCCATTCGAGTATCAAAGTGTTAAGAATACCTGTAGCAGCGGTGTTATAGAGTGCTCTAACTCACTTATAACCACGAAAGAGGCCCACGATTTTACAGGTAAAGGTTATAGAAAGCCTGTAGAGCAACGGTATAAAGGTGTTAAAGTACCTACATAAGAGTGTTTATTCATCCTCAGCTATTACTTTAACCGGTATTACTGTGGTTGTAGATGGGTTAGTTAACACTCTGGGACATAGAAAAACGTCGGCTAAGAATAATTTATCACTCAAAACTTCATTAGACCTATTAAAAATAGTTGTTTTACACTTTAACGCGTAATAGTTATATAAAATACTCTCAAGCTCAAGTCTCGTTTGAGAAATCCTATAAACGACATAATAAAATTGTGACAACGAAGAACAGCTTACCGAATGGCGAGACATAATTGACAGAGGAGTTATAATAAAGTGTTCAAGTTATTTTAGTTTGTGAAGTGAAAACAATCAGCCATTGTGATTTTACGGTAAGTGTATACTATGTTTTCCATCTCAATTTTAACGCGCTCAGGATTTGTTAGAGATTTCAAATAAAAGTTATGAAGAATAAAACAGACACCCCAAATTTGTATCATATTTATTCTTGCATCCTGGCCAGTGGCATGTTAAATTAAGTGGCATCAATGGAATAACAAAATTAACAAAAATAATGAAGTATTTTGTTGTCAAATATTGAATAATCCAGTCATCAATTTATAGGTTAGTTTACCAAAACAATGGCGAACTTACTTAAAGCTTTAGGTCTTCACTTAAGTCATCTATTACACACTTTGAGATACAACATCTTTACTCAAGAATATTGTGCAGTCTTTAGTATACTTAACAGTGCAATAATAGACTTGAATAAATATACTTACTATAGCCAAGGCAATACAACCGGCTAAACATTTTACGAACTGGATGGATTAGGGTTCTTCAACGAAATAATCAAAACCTGCAAGTATTAAAAAAAATCACAAAAAAACAATGTTTTGGTATTACTTAAACCGAGTAAATGATTTATATGGTTTGTAAGGTGTCTTTTTATTAGTTCGATTGTAGTATTATACTACACATCATAACAAACCACTTTTCCTAAGAAACATTTATTTTTAAGGATTGTCCAGGTTTCTATAACTTTTACTCATTACAATCGTAATATCTCCTCAGTTCCTTACTCGCAAAATAAGTCAGTCACAGTCACTCAGTCTTACACAGTCGACGAGTGAAAACGGACATCAATGCGTCAGCGGCTCGAGCAGTGTCGTCTGATCATCTCACTTTGATACCCGAAAATAAAACGCGTACAAGGTCAGTCATTCAATAACATTCATTATTTATCTTAACTTAATGTAACATAGAATGTTAGACTATAGGTAGATAGTGTAAGTTGGGACTTGTGCCGAAAGATTTGTTTATTTATATAATATTGTGTTGAAATAGGTACGTGGAAGTAGGTAGACCTTGTTTCTATGTAGGTATAGATATCTACCATATTGTTTAGCTCATCTTTATTTTCGCCCCTATGACGTGGTACTATTATGTACAAAAACACTATTGGGACAACTTTTTTGTTTTAACTACCCGCGACTTCATCCATATGGCAAATGTGACTTCGGTAAATCCAGTAATACCTAATAGTTTTTAAGTTTCTTAAGCACAAACTAGTAAGAAGTGCTAGTGCAAGTGTTTCTTAAGGGTTGCATATACAACTACGTACAATGTTATGATTTTTTTAATCGCCGATTCAATGTCACTTGTAGTTTCGTAACTATGAAAATTGAAATTATGTAATTGTTTTTAATTATTTTTTATATATGAACGTTCTTATTGGCCACAAATGCTTGCTTTTAGAGCCGCAAACGACATGATCTATGTTTATCAGGTTGTAACGAAATATCTAAGGGATACGTGTGGAGGTGGAGGATAAATTAAAGTTAACAACTTTCACCAAAATGTGGGTCAAAATAAAAAAATAATAATTGGCACGCTATGTAAATTGATGAAGAAAGATTTTCTCTATTGGGACAATTTGTTATACCTTGAGTAATTACGTATATACGTGTTACGTATGTTTTCCGTTGTCTGAATTTGTGTACTAAGTTGTTATTATTATTGTTTCAGCATGCCGTTCAAAGTTGTTCAAACCTTGGAGGGAAAGAAATATAAATTATTTACTATTCCATCGGGTTGGGAATCTAACAATATTCTCAGATATCCAAATAAATGCATATCAAAGTATTTAAAAGATGAAAATTCAACACCAACGCTAGACTGGGACGTAATAAAATGTAAAGTAAAACGGACCGATGTATTAAGCTACGAAAACGGAGAAAAGCTTGTATCTGAAATGCTGAAGCACAGTGATACGGAGGACGATGTCGATAATTATACGCAGCGGCGACGTTCACATAACAAATCTTTAAATCTGAATCCAATAGCACAAGATATGGTAAGAACTACATATTAAATGAAGGTTATGACTTTAGTAGCCTATAAAGAATGAATTAATGTTTTTTAAACATTTAGTCTATTTATTTTTAAACTCTTTGTCAAGTCTTGTTTAATAAAATTTTACCGGCTCTTTTTTGTTTCAGATGGGCAATGTTGTTTTGACTAAACGTAACACAGACATAGCGTCATCGTCCGCTGACTTGCCGATTGAATTAAACTATAACTTAGTTTATACCGAGGATATTCAAGCAAATTCAACAAATACATCTCAAGTCTTTTCAAATGATACTACACCTTTAGTACAGGATTCAGTAAGCTTTGACATCAGTAAAATGTTTGAGAACCAAAAACAAATATTAGATAACCAAGCAACTATTCTAAGCCAAATTTATCAAAATCGACAGCAGCAACTGGATAATAACTCGGCAATTATCGCCCAGATTCAGTCTCTAAAAAATGTGCAAAATAGTTTCATTCAAAAGGTGTCTGCTTTGTCTGTGCAAATGGAAGACGCAGTATTTCAAATAACTTCATCGTATAATCAAGACGTGCAAACTTTAAATAGCAGCAAAGGCCATGTTGAAAATATTCCAATATATGAAAAGCCAGTTGACAGCGCCCAGGAGTTAGATGAACTCGAAAATCAGTTATCGGACCCAAACAATAGAGACTGTTTGAAAAATAGATATTCTATACTTTGTTCTGGAGGTAAAGCTATAGACTGTGCTTATATGCTTGTTGATGTTATGTTTACAAGGAAATTTATTTGTGAGTGCTCATGGAGTGAGGGCAGCAGAGGTGAAGATTTGAAAATTCCTTTAAAAGGTTATAAACATGTCTTGTCTTTTTTCTGGAATATGGTGCACTATTGGGATCAGGAATATTCTTTAAAAGATAATGAATTATTTTTCAAAACGATTTTGAAAAATGCCAAAAAAAAGAAAAATTGCAAAACTTGAAAGAGCTTCAACATCAAGGCAACGTTCGAAACCCAAAAATAATTTGAAACGTATGAAGTTTTCAGAAGAAAATGAGACAAATGTAACTTCTGATAACGGTGAAAGTGAGAATGAGATAAACGAAGAAGAAAACACGATAAATAAGAAGAAAATAAATGATTCAGTAGAAGAACACACAAAGGAAAATAAAGAAGGCGATGTTATAAAAAATATCTCAAAAGACATCGCCAAATATAATAGTAACGTTATAATTGGAAAGGAGACAAGTGTCTGAAATTGAAGAAAAGGAATCGTTACATTAAGCAATTATAAATATTTATTATATATTATACTATTTCGTTTGATATTCTGAAAACTATGTAAAGATTAAAGCTATTAGAGTATTATTTTTATCTATTTTTATTTTGTCATATGTAAGGCTATAATTGGAAATCGAGACTGATTGAAATAATTACTAGACATTACCGAATTTTTAAAAATATTTTTGTAGGTTAATATTTATTATGTAGATCAAGTTAGTAGATATACAATATGTAACTAAAACCCTATCAGGATCATTATTCAAACGTATAGAAATAACTTTTTTTGTAAAAACTCGAACAATATTTTTTATTTTAATTAAAAAAAAATTGTATGCGAATTGTATGTGGTTATATTACCTCTGCATTATCGGTGGAGTAAGAGGATTGTCAAATACCTCGCTTTACTAAGCTTTAGCATCGGCTAGTGTCAGTAAGAGGCAATAAAACGACATAAAATAAAATATTTTTTTAATAAAATTTAAAAACGAGTTATTTCTATAGGTTTAAATACTGATCCTGATAACATACTTAACGGGAACCACAGGGTTTTTGTTACGTTGTATATACCTATAGGTGAAAATATACCTACTAATACGTAAGGCTGTATTATCTCAAAACAATTACTTTGTTAAGTACAACATAATATGTTAAATTGTATTAGTTACCATAGTTAGTTTAGGTATACTTATTTGTTTTTTTATAGCAATCTAAGCTAAAGAAAGCATTTTTAATATTATGATGGATAAATAATATTCTCTTCATTGATTTTTTCATAATTCACATACAGAGTATTTATTTCAGAAAATATTGTGAAAGCAAACATATATTTTGTTTCTAAAAACCATATTTGTACAACAATCTTTTCTTAAATTTTTACTGTTTTAATAAAGAAATTTTCAAATTAAAGTTTGCTTATCATTTGAGTACCTACAGCGTATGTAATAATGGTAGAAAGTATATTATATCTTTATGACTAATACAAACTAATTTACATTTGATTTCATTTGGATTTATTACTATAACATCATCAGAGACAACATAAGGTTCTTTTACTTTATACATACTTAAAAACGATGACTTAATCGGTAAGTCAAATATGATGTATTTGTTCAAAATTTTTTTACCACTTATGGTAACCTCTTTTTTCACTACCAGGGGACAAGTCTTTTAATTCAAATATATCATCATTGTGAGTCATAAAATATTTATCTTCTGGCTTTAAAGAGAGGACAAAGTTTTTGAAGTGAATTTTACGATTACTTTTACTAGTTATCAAGTAGGGTTCATTATTCGTGGTTTTTGCTGTCATCAAAAGATTAATTGTACTTTTCTCACAAATTCTCTTAGCAACTTGTGCCAGAGGTTTGTCACCCTGTCTTAACATTCTCTTGATTAAATATAATTGATTCTCAAATGGATACGCATCGAAGTTGTGAAGAGGGCCAAATTTTTGAACTTCGTCCACAATATGGAGTAAATTATGCACATTACTGGTGATATAATGAGAACCATAGAAATATTTATACTGATCTACAAAATGTTTCAGCATTTCTCTGGCAAGTGGTAGTAAAGTTGTGTAACATTTATTGGAACATATCGTAATAGAGCAAAATATACTCAAAAAGTGTTCAACAACATCAACACGAAGGATATCAGACAATATGATAACGCTTAAATAATAAAAAAAAAATTCTAAATTCACTTGCTTTCCAATAAGCGAGACAATCTATACTTCTTACTGCCCGGTGGATCTCAGACGGTAATTTACAGTTTTTTAAAAATGCCTCTAGGTTTTCAATATCTCGCGCACACAGCTTAGTCATATATGTTCCAAAATTGCCATCTCGCCACCCAATAAGCAGCCTCTTCATTATACCCAGATCTATGAGGTGCAAAGAATCTGCTACTGGAAAATCTTCTACCATATCAATTGGCAATTGTAGTAAAGGAGAATCTATTTTATGATGACCTCCGTAAAGTTTAGCTCTGAAATTTTCATCTGTTCTTGGAGAATCTTCCTTGGTAGAGAAGACTACAGTATGAGATGTATGCGAATATTCTCCAACCGTCGTACACTTTAAACATCCATGTCTTCCGTTAAAATTACATACACCTGAAAAAAGTATGTCACACATTTAGCCAATACAAATAACTTAGAAAATTTGAAAAGATCGCCTTGAAATCTTAGCCTAACTAATTTAGTCAGTACATACGAGCGTTAAAGCAATGATTAAAGACTGAATACAGAACATCACAAAATTTAAATGAAAATTATTCATAAAATAATAATAATAATTCGTAAAATTGACTATACATAGTAATTTAGTTCGTCTATCACGATTATAACAATAATGTTAAAGTTTCAATACGGCCATAAATTAAAAATATTTACCTTTAAGGAATGCCCTTGCTGGAGAATCACAAACAAAACATTTGATTTTTATAGAAACAAGTTTCTCATCTATAATTATTCCATTACTAAGTAATGATTTCATCTCAGTTACAAAATCTTCTAAATATTCTTCTAATATTTTTGGTTTGCCTGTACCATAGTATATTCCAATTGTGAATACATTCCCCTCTGCATTGGCTAATATTGGCCAAAACTCCTTTTTGGCACTCTTAAATATTGGCAGACCGTCAAAATTAAAGATTAAATGAATGCTATTTGGAATGGGCGTGAAATCCTTAAGTAATTTCATTAACGGTTCAGTTATACCATGATGCCAATATTGTCCTTCTTCTATATTTTTAATACAAATTTCTTTTGGAGTACGCAAAACAGTGCGTGGATCTTTCGGAAGTAATAATGTAGTACTAACGTAGCCTTCATTCAAAATCAACAGAAGCTGTTTTAAAGCAGTTTGGGTAATATTGTTTCCTACGGACCACGTTTTTAATTGTTTAGTTAGTGCAGTAATTTTTTCAATATCACTAAATTTTTCTTCCTCTTCTTCTTCATCTTCTGACGCACTAAGTGGTATGGAATCGAAAAAATTGTTATTTACTTGTGCTTTTTCTTGTTCTTGTTCTACGGAACCCTGCTGTGCCTCCACTCGAACTTGACCAAAATTACTCGTATTATGGCTATTTATATATTCTCTTTGTAACGAATCTTCTTTATTTTCCGTAATAACTGGAATACCAGAATCTAATCGGATATCATCATAACTAAGTGATTTGTTTGTGTCATTCGTACCATTATTAAGTGAATCCAAAAAAATACGGCATTCCTGCATAATTCTTTTTTTCACTGCGCCTGTTTTCTTTTGTTTACTCCATCTTTGTAATCGTTTCATTTTAATGTAACTTAATAATAATACTTGGTAGAAAAATTTCTTCAGTTCGTAATAAGGTTGTTTATAACAAAAATTATAACAAATCGCAACTTTAGAAAGACTGCTTTTGAGTATTAATATCCATACTTGTCTTGTATAACACCATTACTTTTACAATGTATTTAAAGTGTATATGCCAAACACAATAAGCATTAGTAAAATTAAAATTATAGCTTAAAACTACATAAATGAGTTGTTCAACACTTTTAGTATCTTGTGTTAGTACACTCTTGACAAACTCTATTTTACAACCCATGTCTGCACCTATAGTCAATATAATACCTAAAGGCATATAAGACACTTCACGGCAACAACTAAACAACAATAAGTGTTAACGATAGTCAGCGAGCACTGTTGTATAGATTTAGGAGCTACAAACAGGTCAAAGCTACAACTTCTTAACTATACTTGCTGTGATTAGCACTATTCTAACTCTTAAAGCAACCTAACATCGTTCATTAAAGTTCTAGAACCACTGTTGGAGCTAAATTTATCTTTTAACTCTTATATATGTCTTTTAGTTAGAACTGAGATAATTATTACTCAGTTAAACAGATTAAAGTTATATTAAAACCTGTAACTGACACCAAAATGTTAGTTGGGAGGTAAGTCCAACTTCGACCGAGAGGTCAAACGACGGATTCAACTCAGCTGGACAGCGTTCGGGAAATTACGACACATCTTCTCGTCAAGTATACCTCAATCTCTGAAAACTAAAGTGTACAACCAATGCGTGTTGCTAGTGATGACTTACGGATCTGTGGTCATGGTCCTTCACTGCTGTCTGTATGAGGACACTCAAGGTCGCTCAGCGAGCTATGGAGAGGACTATGCTCGGAGTTTCTCTGCGTGATAGACTCAGAAATGAGGATACCCGCAGTAAAACCAGAGTGACCGATATAGCCCAACGGATTAGTAAGCTGAAGTGGCGATGGGCCGGCCATATAGCTCAAAGAACCGATAACCGATGGGGAAGAAAGGTTCTCGAGTGGCAGCCTCGTACCGGTAGACGTAGTGTAGGGCGACCCCCCACTAGATGGAGTGACGACCTGGTAAGACATGCAGGAAGTCGATGGATGCAGGTGGCTCAGGACCGTGCTTTGTGGCATTGCTTGGGGGAGGCCTACGTTCAGCAGTGGACTTGTGAAGAGCTGTAATGATGATGATGATTGCAATCCCGTAACATTCATTTCTATGCAGATGACAGCACTGGTGATGCTCTTTACACCGGCCGAGCCAATATTTCTCGGGAAAACGTCTCCACACACACACACATACACACCACACACACATACACACTCATAGCTCAAACTTAATTAAATATATATATAAGGATCTAATAGATTAAATGTTATAGATTATTTATATATTTATGTGTCAGATGAACCCGGGATTTTCTTATTGCTAGGGGAAGCGCATTCCAGAGTCTTACAGCTGTAACAGCGAAAGAGTTTGAGAGGAACCAGTACGGTGAGAGGGAGTATGGAGCACGAAATTGTTACGAGAGCGAAGATTGCAATCATGGGAAGAACCCAGGTATTGAAACTTACATTTCAAATACTCTGGGGCCAATGGATCGTTAAGAATAGTGAACAGAGTGCTAAGGATTCTAAGGCTCCTGCGTTGTGGGATAT